TGGCTATTACTAACGTTTCAAGGTCAACGTTCCTGTCGAAGTTAAAAGTTGGTTAACTTTTGGACGTAAAACGTCAACCGCAACAACAACCGAAAAATTTATAATCAACAAAACATCCTGCGTATAAACGAACTTTTCACCGACCGTAACGTCGGGCGTCGAACCGCAACGTTTTCAATCTATAATTGGGGCTTTAAGCCCCAATTATAGATTGAAAACGGTGCGGTTCGACGTTGCGGTTGACGTTGAACGATAACGACGGTAATTTGTTGTTAGTTATAGATATAAAACGTTTTAGTTAACATTTTCAACCTAACCTTATTTATTCAATCAATGAATGTCATTGAAGAATTTAAAAATTATTATTATACCAATAATTAGGTAGTATTTTAGTTAGCAAAATTAAAAAGATTTTTTTTCTTGGCTTTAAAAAAAAATGGATGTACACGATGATGAGATATCGGTTGGAGTTTTAGCCCTGTTATTGTGTTGTTTGGCACTGAAGCTCAGCCAGAATCAGAAAGAACGGAGACCCAGGAGGTGGAGCATTCGCCCTGTAAATCTATCACGAGAAAATTCTTTTAATTATTTTAAGAACATTAAAAAGAAGGACCCCGAAGAATTTTTTAAGTGGACTCGAATGTCTGATAATAGTTTTAATGCATTGCTGGCATTAATTCATGATAAGATTAAAAAAAGAAAAATTAAGAGGGGAATTGGAGCCGAACAAAGACTTTGCATTACTTTACGCTACCTGGCCCACGGCGACTCAATGCAAAGTTTGGCATGGTCATTCCAAATGGGAAAAACTACAGTTCGGGACATTATTTATACAACTTGCGAGGCAATTTGGGATAGTTTGAAAAATGATTATTTGGAGCTACCCCACAGCATTGAAAAATGGAAAGCTATTGCCAAAGATTTTGAAGATGTTTGGAATTTCCCTCACTGCCTAGGAGCCCTGGATGGGAAGCATGTTTCAATACAAGCCCCACCTAATTCAGGCTCTGCCTTTTTTAATTATAAAAAACATTTCAGCACGGTATTGATGGCAATCTGCAATGCCAATTATAGATTTATCATGGTGGATGTGGGTTCTCTTGGAAGTGCAAGTGATGGTGGAATTTTTCACAATATGCTTTTTAAGGAGCTTCTGGAAAAGGGTCATTTAAACATCCCTCCTCCAGAGGAATTGGAAAATACCACTTTTAAAATGCCCTATGTCTTAGTAGCAGATGAAGCCTTCCCCCTAAAAAAATATATATTTCGACCCTTTGGAGGCACCAATCTTTCTGTGAGAGAAAGAATATTTAATTATAGACTTTCCAGAGCTCGTAGGACTATTGAAAACGCCTTCGGAATCTTGGTTGCTAGATGGCGAATTTTAAAAACCACCATAATTGCAGACCCTCCAAATGTGGATACCATAGTCAAGGCATGTGTTGTTTTACACAACTATTGCTTATCAAAAAGCCAAAAATATAATCCAGCAGGTTACACTGACAATGGAGATCAGAACGATGGCATTTGGCGAGAGGAAACCACTCCACTTAGATCAGTTGGTAGACTAGCCAACAATAATGCGGTACGATACCTCTACCAACTGAGAAATAGTGTAGCAGACTATTTCGTCTCTGAGGTTGGTGAATTGCCTTGGCAGTACGACCATGTACTCAATAGAGGTACTGTTTTTGCTGCAAATTAACTTTATATTTCCATATTAAGTTTTTGTTTACCTTATAGATAATGGATTGTTTTTAATTTGGCTTTGAATATATACAGTATCTCCATGGAAAGATGTTCCAAGAGGTAAAATGGACTAAAAATTTCATTTTTTCATTGCAATTTTTAGTCCTTTTCACCTTCTGGGACCTCTATCCGTGGACATACTGTAGATAATTTTTGATTTTTGTATTTTTAAATTTTTGAATTTTTTAAACTACCTATCTACTTAAAATAATTAAAAACCATTTTTCACATACTTTTGTTTTATTTATTATACATATATAATTTATTATCTTTTATAAAAACAACATTTCAAAAAATATTAACCTGCAGAAACATGCATGCTAAAAACGAAAAACGGCTATGCCAACAGTGTCTACCTGTATTCTTATATTACTAAGTATATTACAAAAATCACAGGCCTTCAGTCTTATTATAGAAATATTAAATTAGATGTATGGACAACACAAATAAAAATTCTTATGAATAAAAAAAACCAAACTCAAAAACTTATGTATGTATAGCATGTCCCAGTGACATCTTACCACATATTATCTGTGATCTTACCAAATAGGAAAAAAGTTTATTACTAATTTCACAGTAAAATGTCACTGGGACACGCTGTATATACTTAATATAGGTAACATCAAAACTTAAAATATTGTAAACTCACCGGCAAAAAAAACCGGCCACTAAAAACTAGACCCAATTTCAAAGTCGGATTTCTCGCGAACCGCTCATTCGATTTTGATGATTTTTCTTTTAAATTGTAAATTAATTCCTTTTTAACGGATGCTGCGTCAGAAATTTTTATTCCGAATTTATTTTGAGCATATACAGGGCACAACAATAAGACGAAGTTTTTTGCCCGAACTTTGTAACACCCTGTAGGGTGCAGCAGCGGTAGTAGCTATTGCCAAATTAAATCACATTATAGCCTCATCTTTTGTGAGCATTTTGTTTTTTTAATCATCACATTATCTCTTTTTGTATTGGAGATATGCTGTTTTAAAACGAATTTTGCTCGTATTGTGGCTTTAATTGAGGATGGCCGAAGTCAACGTTATGTCTCCGATACCCTGAGTATATTTTGAACAACAGTCCAGGATGCCTGGAATCGGTATATGGAAACGGGAAATTTCACCAGAGTGGTTACTAGATATTAGTCCCTTAAAATTTCTTTACCTTTTTTTTTTAATTTTCATGTTTTAGTTAGTTTACGTCTACGTTCTGATGTTTGATTTGATTTTAAAGCTTTTTTCGAGGCGTTTGTTTTAAAGCAGCGTACCTCCAATACAAACAGAGATAATTTCGTGATTAAAAAAACAAAATGCTCACAAAAGATGACGCTACAATGTGATTTGATGTAGCAATAGCTACTACAGCTGCTGCACCCTACAGGGTGTTACAAAGTTTGGGCGAAAAACTTCGTCTTATAGTTGTGCCTTGTATATGCTCAAAATAAATTTGGAATAAAAATTGCTGACGTAGCATCCGTTAAGAAGGAATTAATTTACAATTTAAAAAAAAATCATTAAAATCTAATGAGTGGTTCGCGAGAAATCCAACTTTGAAATTGGGACTAGTTTTTAGTGGCCGGTTTTTTTTGCCGGTGAGTGTAGAATACAGGGTCCGGCAATAGTGCGTCGGGCATCTGTAGCTCCTAGAATAAAAAACTTGAGAATTTTGTTTAAGTGCAAACCTAAAGTATATACCAGGATGTATTTCACGAAAATATGTAAACTTCTATAGGATGGCTCAAAAAAGTGTGAGTGGACCTGGATGATTTTTTTTAAATGGAACACCCTGTATATTATTTTTTTATTAGATCGAGAGTTAAAAAATGAACATTTTTTGTATTTAGAGTATTTCAAAAATTTTAACGGTTTCGCAGATACACGCAGTATTATTTCATATGGCGCTTTCAATGGTAAAATACGAGAGAAAAATCATTGGGTGGCTTTGATAAAAATGTGGAAAATGCCATATGAAATATAAAATTGCAAATATCTGCGAAACCGTTAAAATTTTTGAAATACTCTAAATACAAAAAATGTTCATTTTTTAATTCTCCGTCTATTGAAAAAATAATATACAGGGTGTTCCATTTAAAAAAACGAAGAAAAATTATTTTATATTTTAGAAAGTTTGGCGTAGAATTTTGAACATCCTGTATGATTTACGATTTTCATATTTATAACAAAGTAAGTACAGACCATATAAAGTAAATACCTAAAATAGTCTTGATTTCAGAACAGTTCTTGTATTTTTAATAATTTTTTTAAGAAGGGCTGAAAAATATATATTTTTTATTTATTTTTTAATATCTCTGAAACTATCGAAATTTATTTATTCATATCTTAGGGTTATGTAAAGTGATCTGAAAGAAAGCCAAAAAATGCAATAATATACAAGGTGTTCCATTTAAAAAAGGTCATCCAGGTCCACTCACACTTTTTTGAGCCACCCTATAGAAGTTAAAATATTTTCGTGAAATACATCCTGGTATATACTTTAGGTTTGCACTTAAACAAAATTCTCAAGTTTTTTATTCTAGGATGTAGCTCCTAAGCACTATTGCCGGACCCTGTATATTATACTTATTGTTACTAAACTTAATCTTCCAAAATCTCCATAATCCTCAGTCTTTTTGTTTGGCAATTTCAGATGACATCTCATCAAGCCTGATAGAGACAAATTCCCAAAGGCTGCATTTATAGGACCCACAGTGCTGTTCATATTGCTAACTATTGTTTTAGCCAACCCAACAATTTCATTTATTTCAGATCCATTTGCCTGGACTTTTCTTTTTCGGAAGTGTCCTGTTAGATATATTATTTTTTTAAATCAACATTTAGTTAGAAATTTGTACTCCGAATAGGTACCTATTCCATCTTCTAGTGCTAGCTTACTCTTTTCTGTCTCCTTTACCACTTGTTCTTTTCGATAGTATTTTCACTCTCTTCTACAAGTTGAGAGTCTTGAGCCTGAGATTGAGTTTCGGCACAAGAGCTGACAATTGTGGACATGCTGTCCCATACTGTAGAGGTGCTAGTAGAGGCAGTTGCGCAGGTACTTGGCCGAGAAATCGGTAATTTTACGTTCGAGACTGTTCTAAAATAATAAAATATATTTAGGTATGTACTAAATAATTTCAATAATTATTTTGTGTACCTTCTCTGTACCCTGCACGAATCATAAAACTGCATGGCCTGCATATAAGGCCAAGGCCTAGCAAAGGCCACCTTGTGAACCAGATGGTTCAGCTTTTTCTTCTAACATATGTATCCCGAAGGAGTTTCCATATCCGTTTGGCTTCTTCAACTAAAAATAAGTATACATTATAATACTAATTATTAGTATATTGGTGTTATTATGTAACTAGTCTTTTATTTAGTATGTTTCTTACATAAAATATGTTACCTGATATGTCCATAGCGGTGCCTATTTCCCTCCAGCTATTTTCTTTTTTCTGACCATCTTTATAGTCTTTATGTTTGATGTCGTATAAGTGTTTAAATCCTTCTACTAGGGGGAAAGAAAAAAGGTGTATATCTATAAAAAATAATATATAAAATTTATAATTATATCTTTCTGCACATTGTTTAGTATACATACCAACTCTAGTGTCTTCCAAGACCTCCATTTTCACAGTTCACAACAATAGGCACCAATAACAAAATAGAAACACCTACAAAGTACTAAATTTTAATATAAATCACCTTTTTCCTGCATTTTCTAAAGAAAATTTCGAAAATTCATACCTACTTTCCAAAAGAAACTGAAACAATTGTGAGGTTATGTTATGATCGCTCGAATCGCCGCCACCGCATTTTTTTTTTTTTTTTAAATAGAGGCGCTAAAAAAGTCATTTCTATTGGCTATTACTAACGTTTCAAGGTCAACGTTCCTGTCGAAGTTAAAAGTTGGTTAACTTTTGGACGTAAAACGTCAACCGCAACAACAACCGAAAAATTTATAATCAACAAAACATCCTGCGTATAAACGAACTTTTCACCGACCGTAACGTCGGGCGTCGAACCGCAACGTTTTCAATCTATAATTGGGGCTTAAGAGTTTACCATCTCCCGAAGCTGCAAACATTATCGATGTGCTAGATTTTGTTGTGTTCATTATTCTCTCTGGATGTTTGCTACCTCGTCGTGTTATAATTTTCTTTTTTCCTACAAGAAAAAAATCATTTTTGTTATACTGTTTAAACACCATTAAAAACGCCAAAAGGTACCTACGTCGTCACATAAATTCGTTTCATCGTAATTTATGATGTTACATGGAGGAATGCCTTGCAGGCATTGCTCTAGGTTATCAAAATAATAATTTATAACTTCTCTCGAAACATTTGCTTTAGAGCGTTTTATGTTTTCGCAAAATCTTTTTTTTTTTATTTCTTTTTAAAAAACTGTAAACAAAATCCTTCCCGGGTAAATTGTTTTTAAATGTTGGTTCATTCCTCCCCAAAATTCTTATCTCGATAATTCTTAACGATTAGACGCAAATCGTAGCAATCAATTGGATATCCCCATTCTGAGCAGATGTTAATTCTTTCAATGAACATGCACTCTTCTTGGGCTGACAGTACCGTTTGTCCGCCTTGTTTCTTCACTTCGCCTTTTGCATGGCGAAATAGAACCGACATTGGTACCCCGTACTTTTGAGCCGCCTTACGGAAACTCAAAGTACTGTTTCTTCTAAAGCTTGTAAGATATTTTCCTTAGTGTGGTGCTTATAACCTTTGCCGAAAAAGTGCAGTTTCTTTTCAAAGAAATTTTCTAATTTTGTCCCTATTCACCCTCCAGTCCCTATTCATCCCATTTTACGGTACTTACCTCTGCTGTTTTGTTGTCACTAGTATCTTGTGTATCTTGTTCAGGAGATAGACCACCTTCAGTAGAATGCCGTGGCTCATTTTTGTTTTTTAAAAATAAAAGCATTTTAAAAAAGATCCATTTTGTTTTATACGGAGCATCAGCTCCATCACCACTCCTCCTTTTTTCCAACTCCCGCTGGAGCTGCCCAATAAGCATACGCATTTTTTTTTCAACTTCACTTGCATTTGTTTTCAATTCTGCACCTAGTTTAGTCCATGCGTCGTGTTTTTTATTTCTCAACTCAATTAAATGAGTGGTAAGTTCTTTCGACCATTCCATTGCGTAAAAAAAATAACAAAAATCACTGTGTGCAATGCCAGAGTTCTGGCAGTATTAAATTCAAACGCTGCTTGTCCTACAGTAAATGATTAATAACATAAGTGTGGACAAGTCGCGGGCGTGTTTTAAAACAAAGTTTTATAATTTTCTTTGATCTTTACCGACACCTATTGGATAACATAATATATGCTATATATCAAGAAAACTGTTGTATAATATTGTGTTTTATAACTTTTTTACTTGAATTTCTCTAACAAGTTATAAAACTTTGTTATTTAACATGTTTTGTTACATGGCCTGGACCCGGCTTTCTTATTGGCATTGGATAGATTCGGTATTATTTTCTCGGCATCCTACTCTGGTCGGAAGTACCTCCTTTTGCGTCAAAAGTATTTTAATACACACAAATTTGTTACAAACACTTTTTATCTTTTAAACTGGTTAAAAATAACATAAAAAATAAAAATTACTATACCTTAAGTCCAAAATTACTGTCAGCGATGTATCACATTAACCTAACAAGAAATTGAGTAGGGGACGACCATTCCTTCGTGTTCACCCCACACTCTTTTTTTTTCAAGGTCACCATATGTGGCTAAACCTCGGTTTCAGAAACACCTGCAAACCCACGTTGACGGCCATGTTTTCAAGGCCACCATATGGCGCTGAAATGTGTATGAAAAGGAAGCAAACCCCTGTTCAAGGCCACATGACGTCACGAATAAAGACGCCACCCCCTTGTTCCTCCTCCCGCCGCTAATTTCTTTTTTTTTTCGCTTTTGACATGTGTCGACGTGTAGAATAGCCTCTGTCGAAGTATTTCAAGTTTGTATAACGTTACATATAGATATTACTGGATATACATCTTTCACCATCACGTGTGTGCATGTGTATGATGGGTTTTTACGCATGACCGAAGATGATTTCATTGCTGTTCGTATTTAAACTTGTCCGAGTGTCTAGGCAATTCATTCCAAGAGGTTCCCTTAAATGATTTAATCTTTAAATGATTTTTGATAATTTAACACAAGCTACAAGATTATTTATACTAATGATAATAAAATTATATCCTGCATGTTTTACTTTATGATTTTACACAACCACGCATTGATTTTTAGCATAAGTTAAATTATAAATATTTGAATGGTGTTCATAAATTATTGATAATCAAATATTGAATTAAATTAATTAGGTTTTCGGAGTGTCTAAAACATTAGCTAAATCATTTTAAGGGTATAATAGGAAATTATTCTTTTATTCGGTATTTTAAAATTTTTAGTAGAATTTTACAGAAAACATGTCTTTAAATCTAAGGTTTAAACGGATTTAACTAGGTGTTGCTGTTTCATATTTAAGAAATCAATAAAGTGGTACCGGCGCAGTGATCGTCATAGAGAACCAACGACGTTACGCACGTGGTAAAGGGCGGCGGAGCGAGGGTGGTGGAATAATTCGAAAAGGTTGGTACTTTACGAAGAGGGACCATGGCACAGCTAGTGGTTTCGATCGTTAAATTTCAAGATCACATGACGTCACGTATAGATTCTGTAATATTGTCACGCGTTTTGGCCTTAGCTCGGCTCTTTTAAATTTAAAAAAAATAGAAAAAAAAATTTGGAAAAAAAAGTAAAAAAAATACGAAAAAAAAATATTATTAAGTTAGCGATTAAAAAAAATATTTATGGAATTTGCAGGGGTCTAGTCGCGAACAAATTTATGCCCTAACTCAGAAAATTCGGAGAGTAGGGGCTGGTTAAGAGCGCCACTGACTTTAGACGGAAAAAGTCAGAAATCCCCCAAGATGTATTTAGGGCCTTACAAGCTCCACAAATAGATAAATAAAAAAATAAATAATTAATTAAATAAAAAGAAATATTATTAGATTTTAGAGAATTATGTAGTATAGGGCCAAAGGAAATATAAAAATAATAAAGCAACTGATTAGTTTCAGTACCCTCTACTGAAATATAAAAAAGTAAATATAGGAAACAGTAAATAGAAAATACCAAATAGCAAATAATAACTTAAATAAATCAATAAAAAATTGTGCACCATGAAAAATATATACCATACGCAAATAGTAAAATTACGTAAATAAATAGGTACCTTCCGTGATCACGTAAGATTTACAAAAAAAATGTATATATGTGTACATCAGCGCAACTAAATTCAGATGATATATCAAATTAATCAACAAAGTAATAAATCAAATAAATAATAATCTACTAATTCGCTTGTTAATAATATAATTATTAAATAATTAAAACAATCAACTACTAATTACAAAAATAAATTCAGATATCGATAAAAAAAAGAAATTAATAGATTTAAATAGAGATAAAAGAAACTATGTCAGCTATATATTAAATTTACAAAAAAAAAGGAAAAAAAAATTAAATATTATTTTATCAACAGAATTAAGTATGTGAAAATTTATTCTAATTAAATTATAATGTTAAAAAAATTATCTACGTTCAGTATTCGTAGGCACCAATGAAATACAAATCGTAAGATAGAAAAAAAAAATAAAAATTGAATTGTACGATACCAAATAGTTGAAAATCTTCTAAATCAAATCAATCCTGGGCAGACACCGTCGGCTGTCAACTGTCAACTCCTCCAGAAAAGTAAAATGGATACAGCGAAAAAAAACTGCTCCAACAAGAAAAACTGGTTCAGAGAAAATGTCTTCAACACAGAAGAAAAACTTCTTCGGTCCAGACGAAAAAACTTCTTCGGCCCAGACAAAAAAACCCTACGGAGAAATAATATTATAGTTTCTCCATAGTACGAGATAATAAAGATAAAAAAAGATAGTTTTTTTTAAAGAAGAGAAAAAAAATGGAAAGAAATGTATTAATATAAAAAAATAGGCTTTACCTGCTAACTCAGGGTTTTCTACGAATCCTCAGGTGGTTAAAATTAGTTCTTCCCCTGGATGGAATGGGGTCATGGATCAATGAGAAAAAAAAAGCGGGCTGCTTGGTTGACCCACGTCAGCTTATTGAGGTGAAAATCCCGTCACCGGTAAACTGTGGCACCGTCCAAAAAAACAAAAGGTAAGATAGGGTGCTGCAGTAATTTTTGAGGCACACTCGAAAATCCCCACAACGGTAAAAATCAAAAACTTGACAAAATACCGAGAGGCCTCTGTACCTCACACTAGCTGAACGTAAAGTGACCGAACCAAGATAGTTCCAAGAAAAACGAAAACCTTTTTTGCAACAAAGAAATAGCCAGATAAAAACACGAGCCCTTGATAAAATATGGATTGCCAACCATGAGCTAAATAAAGACATGAAGAAAAAGTTATATATAAATAATAAATAAATAATGTTTATTCAAACTGATCCAATTACAAAGTATATACAAGACTTATACATAACTTACGAATACAAAATAGTGAATAAACATAATATCCTCTTAAGGTAGAACCTTGTCTGAGGAGTTTTATTTCTACAACAATAACTACAATATTTTATACTAAATTCTTAACTATATCTAAATGTATCAAATTAATATATTTCATTGTCCAACACTTAAGCACGCCAAAAAACAAGTTATTACACAGCGGTCTTATCTCCTATATCTAGTATTTTATAGGAAT